GTTTGAATGATGGAAGTGGAACTAGGATAAAATTAGTAACAGGAATGGAATCTGCATTAGACTTAACTTTAGTGTCCAACACTTTGGCTGGAAGGAGTAAATGGGAGGTCTGGACAACAACTACGCTGGGTGGTGATCACAGGGTAGTGAGTTGGTGGGAGACAAGAAGTAAGGGTAGAAGAAAGAATCCCAAAGTATATATTTGAAAAAGCAGACTGGGATAAAGGTGGGCGGAATAATATGGATTATAATGAAGGGGAAGAAGAAGAATGGGGAGAAAATAGGAGACGGATGGATGACAAAAGAGCTAAAGGGAATAAAAGAGTAAGAAATGAGCAAGATGATAGCACAGAAAGTGAAGAAGATGGACAAACTATGGTCCAGAAAGAAAGAGAGGAAAAGTATGTAGTCATAATAAGATTTAATGAGAAGAACCAAGGGAGCATGAAGAAGGTTAATCCACTGGTGCTAACAACAACTCTGGCTAACAAGATTGGGGATATAGAGTACGCAAAGGTCCTTAACGATGGCAATCTATTGGTGAGATGTGCTGATGCAATGCAAATGGAAAAAGCGCTAAAAGTTAAAGAAATAGGAAAATGCAAGGTGGAAAACACGGGAAGAGTGGGAGCTCGGATAGGAGGTGGAAGCACTGGAGTGATAACGGGGGTGCCAATAAATGTTAGCATGGAAGAATTAAAAAGAAATATAAAAGGAGGGAAAGTACTTAATGTACAAAGACTGAAAACAACAAAGGAAGGAGTGATGAGAGACAGTGAATCGGTGTCCGTAGAGTTTGAAGGAGAAAATATACCAAAGAGGGTATTCTTGGGATTTATGAGTTATCCAGTAAGGTTGTTTGTACCAAAGCCAATGAGATGCTTTAACTGTAAGAGGTTTGGACACACTGCTAAGAATTGTAACAGGCAGAGAAGGTGCGCTAGGTGCGGAGGGGACCATGATTATGGAAAGTGTGGAGTAGGGGTTCCACCAAAATGTTGCAGCTGTGGAGGAGCCCACAATGTGGCATATGGAGGATGTGAATTTATGAAACGGGAGACTAAAATTCAAAAGATAATTGTGGAGAGAAGGATATCCTATGCTGAAGCAGTAAGTGTATCAAAAGAGAGAGAAAATGGTGTAAGAGAGTTAGAAGGTATGGTAGCACAAGAACAAAATCAAAGAACCAATGAAAGAATGTATGTGGAAAAAAGATTTAGTTACATTCATATCAGGGGTGATTAATAGTACTGCAGAAGTTAAATCAAAAAATGAAAAAATTCAGTTGATAGTTAAAGCTGCAGTTAACCACTTAGGACTAGTAGGACTGACATGGGAAGAAGTGAGAGAGAACCTCACTATTCAGTCAAGCCAAGAAGCACCATGGGTTGGTTAATAATTTTAATGGTAATTATTTTACAATGGAATGCTAGGGCCAATGGTCCCAATGGTCAAGAATTTAAGCATTTCATAAATGAATTAGAAGAGAAACCAGATGTGTTATAAACATGGCTAACATGGCTGAAACCAAATCTTGATTTTGTAATACATGGGTACACAGTGTTAAGGAAAGATAGAACTGATGGAGGAGGAGGAGGGTGTGCTACATTTATCAAAATTGGATTGCCATATAGGTTACTAGAAATGGGGGTAAATCAGGAATTCATAGCGGTGGAGGTGTGGGAAAGAGGGGAGGGGATAAGTGTTATCAACTACTATAATCCATGTAAAAGGTTGATGCTTGATAACTTACTAAGTATTCAAGGTCAGGACAGACAAAAAGTAATCTGGTGTGCAGATTTCAATGCTCATAGCTCTATGTGGGGGGGTGTACAAACAGATGCAAATGGTAAGACTATAGAAGAACTGATGGATGAAAGAGGATTGGTCAGTTTGAATGATGGAAGTGGAACTAGGATAAAATTAGTAACAGGAATGGAATCTGCATTAGACTTAACTTTAGTGTCCAACACTTTGGCTGGAAGGAGTAAATGGGAGGTCTGGACAACAACTACGCTGGGTAGTGATCACTACCCAGTCCTATGCAGAGTTGGTGGGAGACAAGAAGTAAGGGTAGAAGAAAGAATCCCAAAGTATATATTTGAAAAAGCAGACTGGGATAAATTCAAGAAGATGAGTGAAGAAACAACGACAAGGATTGATATAGCTGGAAATATATAGAGGATGTAAATAAGCAAGTTACTTCAGCAATTATTATGGCTGCGGAGAAAGCTATTCCTAAGGGGGAAAACAGAGGTAATCGAAAACTGGTGCCCTGGTGGAATGAGGAGTGTCACAAGGCGGTAAGAAAAAGAAATAAAGCATTCAGACTAGTAAAAAGGAATCATAGCATGCAGAGTCTAATTCAGTACAAAAAGGCGCAGGCAGAAGTGAGAAGAACTATACGACAGGCAAAGAGGGTAAGTTGGAAGAATTTTTGTAATGAAATTGGAAGATCAACACCAGAGGAAGAGAGAAGGAGAAGGTCAGTAACTTTGAGCCAACATGTACATGCTTTAAATAGGAAGGAAGAGACTGGTGGTATTATTGACGAGCCTTTTTCTCTGGCGGAAATGGTAAGAGCGATTAAAAGAGCAAAGCCTACTTCTCCAGGGAAGGATCAGGTGTGTTATGTAATGTTAAAACACTTTGGGGAAGGATCACTGTTAAAGTTGCTTGAGTTATATAATAAAGTCTGGACTGAGGGAAAACTGCCAATTGCATGGAAAACCTGGCAAAGATCCAACTAAACCCACAAGTTACAGACCAATTGCCCTTACATCTAACTTGTGTAAGATAATGGAGGGAATGATAACAGATAGATTGTCATATGTAATGGAAAAAAGAGGTTTATTGGTAAGCTGTCAGAGTGGTTTTAGGAAGGGAAGGAATACAATGGATTCAGTAGTAAGATTAGAGACTGAAATAAGGAAGGCACAAACAAATAAAGAGACCGTAGTTGCAGTATTCTTTGATATTGAAAAAGCCTATGATATGATGTGGAAGGAGGGGTTATTAATCAAGCTGGATAAAATAGGGATAGGTGGGAAATTGTTTAACTGGATAAAAGACTTTCTGTTTGGTAGGAATATTCAAGTGAGAATTGGGGCAGAAATATCAAGCCAATATGAGTTTGGGAATGGAACACCCCAAGGAAATGTGATAGGTCCACTGTTATTTATTATTATGATAAATTATGTCTTTGTAAATGTTCCAGAAGACATTGGAACATATTTGTTTGCAGACGATGGGGCAGTGTGCCTGTATTTGTGACGTCACACAGACAGGCATCTGAGATCGGCTCGATTTGAGAAAGGGGTAAAGATTTTAGCAGATTAAAAAAAACACCGGGTGGATTTTTATCATTATAGGATGGTTGTGTACACACACTGCAAACACACATTTCAGTTCAAGCAACTTGTAAAAGTGCATGTAGCATTATATGACCCCTTTAAGACTTCTTCAGCTCCTGCTATACAAGTGGAAATGGGCGAAATGCCACTGGAATTAAGAAGGATTCAACTGGTGGCTAATTATTGGGCAGGACTGCCGGGATATAATGACTCTCAAGAGGTTAGAGGTTATTCAGACTCAAGCACTAAGAATTTGCTGTGGTGCTTTTAAGACTTCTTCAGTACCTGCTATACAAGTGGAAATGGGCGAAGTGCCACTGGAATTAAGAAGGATTCAACTGATGGCTAATTATTGGGCAGGACTGCAGGGATATGATGACTCTCATCCCACAAAAGCAGTACTGCAGGATTGCTGGGAAAATGGAAGAAATTTAAAGGAAAACTTCGTAGCAAAAGAGTTAATAATAAGCCCTACGGTAGTTTTTCCAGAGATTGCCCCTTGGAAGATTGCATGGCCTGTGGTAGACTGGTTTGTGCTTAAGGAGAAAAAGAAAGCAAGGGAAGAAATTTATTTGAAAAATGTATTTAACAATCGAGTCGGAGGTAATTATAGTGAAATCATACAAATTTATACAGATGGTGCTAAAAATCCAGAGACAGGAAAAACAGGATTTGGGAAGACAATTCCAGGAAAAGAAATAGAAATTAGTAAAAGAACATCTAATAAATTAGGAGTATATACAGTAGAGATGATGGCAATTTTAATTGCTTTGCAATGGGTGGAAAGGGAAGGGCAGGGAAAGGTTTTGACTCTTTATCAGTTTTAGCAAGTTTAAGGTCATTCCATTCAAAAGCTCGGCGAGATATCCTGTAAGTGCTTCAATTAAACACAAGAATAGTTCATAAGGGATATCAGGTAAGATATATGTGGGTCCCAGTACATGTTGGGATTAGGGGTAATGAGAAGCCGGACAGGCTGGCTAAAAGGGCACTAACAAAAGAAATGCAGGTTAATGTAAGTAAAGCAGAGGTTAAATGCATAGTATGGGAGAAAATCAATAAAAGGTGGCAAGAGAGGTGGGAAAGAGAGGAGAAATGGAGGCATTTATATCAAATTCAGAGAAATGTTAAAGAGGAAAGGTGATGCGGTGATGGCTAGGTTAAGGTCGAGACATTGTTCACTGAATAAAATGCTAAAGACGATAGGGAAGCACCAGACAGGGTTGTGTGAGGGATGTCGAGAAGAGGAGTCAGTGGAGCACATAATCATGACTTGTAAGAGATATGAAACACAGAGGCAGGTAATGAAGAATACACTAAGGGAGATTGGGGTGCAGGAGATCACAAACTAAGCACAGTAAATAGTGCACAGAGTAGAATATTGATTAGCCTACTTTTTTAAGGGAAGTAGGGGTTTTAGGCAGGATTTGATGCATGGTGTGTGTGGATATTAATGTGAGGGGCAATGTGAGTGATGTGTAAGTTTTAGTAGGAAAAAGGAATAACCTATTATCTGATCCACACTCCGGAGCAGAAGGGTGCGGTAATGCACCAATAAGCTGGATGCCAACCGCCGTTAAACTGGAAAGAATAAGAATCTATTGTTATTTTAACTGTAATAACCCCGCTATAGCCTCCATCTGTGTGTGTTTTGTTCGCTGCAGTTGCTCGTCTCAGCCTGAAGGGGGCGGAAGTGTGCGTCACTTCCTGATCCGGGAGGTGAAGAAGACGCGTGTGCGGTTGTTTTCCCTCGGTTTTTATCACGAGCTGCAAATTACAGAGGTAAATCAAACTATTAATTTCACTTACATTTCATCGTTAGCCACATTCGCGCTCGAGAAAAAAGCTCGAGCTCGTTTTATTTGCTAGGTGTTTGTCGGTTTGCTTTGAGCAGTCGTTCTAACAAAGGAGCTAACAGCTAGTATGCTAATATGATTCTGTTGTAAAACACAAACATAGCACACTTTTAGGCTCATTTAGGTGACTGCTATGTATATATATTAGTGGAGATGAACCGGTTTTGGTTGCTATTTTGAATGAAATAGTGAATTAAACGCGTGAGATGAGAGATATTAGCATGTTAGCAGCTGATTTGCATGACTCCTTTTATTAAATTATCAGTAGAAGTAGATTAAACATGAACAGATTCTATTATTAAATATCCAAACTCACATATTTGCGTAGTGATTCTCTTTACGAAGCTCATATCAGAGGTTGATTTAGCAGTTACTCATTATGTCTGTGTTGCATGCATGCTATTTAACATATTAAAAGTCATTTTAGTAAGCCTTAGCATGAAGTATAGTCACTTAATATGTGACCCTGGACCACAAAATTGTCTGTCCTGTCAATTTTTCGAAATTGCTGAATAAATAAGCTTTCCATTGATGTATGGTTTGTTAGGATAGGACAATATTTGGCTGAGATGCAACTATTTGAAAATCTGGAATCTGAGGGTGCAAAAAAATCCAAATATTGAGAAAATCATCTTTAAAGTTGTCCAAATTAAGTTCTTAGCAATGCATATTACTAATCAAAAATTAAGTTTTGATGTATTTACAGTAGGAGATTTACAAAATATCTTAATGGAGCATGATCTTAATATCCTAATGATTTTTAGCATAAAAGAAAAATCAATAATTTTGACCCATACAATGTATTTTTGGCTATTGCTACAAATATGTCAATATTACACATAGGACACATATGTCAAAATGAGATGATATTTGCCCTACAGGCTAATGAGTTAGTAAATGTGGTTTGCAGACGTTATTCAAATGTTTGATGGTGGATTGGCAGCATCAGGCCCTTGTTCCTCGTCTGACCCTCGTGTGTGTTCATCCTGATTGATTGTCCTTGTTTCTAAGTTTTCAGACTGTGGTCCTGGAGGGTCCTGTGCTGGGTTTCTTGAACTCGACATGTACTGCGACCGCCAGAGTTTAGAGTTGTGAATAGAGACTGTTAGAAGGACTAAACTAGAGTTTGGATGTTCTGAATGCCCTGACGCGGAAACGCTCTATTTTCCTCGAAGGCTGCAGGTCCAGCGGGGTTCAAGCCATGTCGGACGGACGGATCTACGTGGGAAACCTTCCCATGGACGTCCAGGAGAGGGACATTGAGGATCTCTTCTACAAATATGGAAAAATTCGAGATATTGAGCTGAAGAATAACAGAGGCACCATCCCGTTTGCCTTCGTGCGGTTTGAGGACCCACGGTGAGTCGCGCGGCCTCCGAGAACAAACGGACGAGGCTTTTTCACGTGTAGAACGAAAATTAGGAGCACTTTCCTCTCTTCCTCTAGGGATGCGGAGGACGCCGTCTTTGGAAGGAATGGATATGGATTTGGAGACAATAAGCTGCGTGTGGAATATCCTCGATCTTCCGGATCCAAATTTAGTGGACCTGCGGGAGGAGGAGGAGGAGGGCCGCGGGGAAGGTTTGGGCCTCCGTCGCGCAGATCTGAGTTTCGCGTTATTGTGACGGGTGAGTTAACAGGTTTGAGGCTAAAGCACCTTCACGCAGAGTTAAAATATTCCTGATAACAATACTTCAATTAGTTGTATAGCAGGGTTATTATAGTTAACTAAAACTATTATGAATTTCGTTGTTAGCATAAAAAAAATTCATCGCGAAAATAAAACATTAAAAAAATAAAATACTTTAAAAAACATATTTTATTTCAGCTAGTTGCCAAGGCAACATTTCTCATTTTCATTTAGTTTATCTTGAACGTAACTGAATTAAATGTGAATAAAAACTGTATAGACGTATTTAAAAACAACAAAAACACTCAAAATGACTAAAACGTTAAGTAAAACGAAAATAAAATCTAAATCAAAATATTAACAGAAATTATAGTAGGATATCAATGATACTAAAATAGCATGCAATAATTTAACAATATTATTTTACAAACAAACAATAAATAAATGACTTATAATAGCAATTATATACAATCTTTTAAACTGATATTCTAATATTTTCTTAGGAGATTTTTTTTTAATGTCCATTAATGTATTTTCTGAGTATTAAAGGGACAGTTCACTCCAAAATTAGCATTGTCATAATTTACTCACCAAACCCATAATTCATCTTCAAAACAGTAATTTAACAGAAGTTTAATGAAACCTGGGGTTTTCTATCTCATCATTGAAGAAATCTTCAAAGATTCAAAAAGGTAAAGGTTTTGGGTGAACTGTCTCTTTAAATACTCAGTTCATAATGCATATAAATACATATAAGTTCATTAATGAATTTTTTCTCAATATTATTATTATTATTATTATTATTTATCAATTATAAATTTGAACGATATTCATTAATTTATTTGTATTTGTTTGTAAAATAATACTGTTAAATTATTGTAAACAATTAATTGAAGATTTATTTATTAAGACTATTTTTATTTCTTTTGAAAGTTTGAATTAAATAGTGCAAAATAGGATCATTTGTTTGCATGCATCTACATTTTACGCAGGTGTTTACAGGACTTGTTCACACTAGAACTACTGAGAAACGAAGCTTTTCGAAGCATTGAATCAATTGCTTCGAAAAATTATTAAATGTTTCGAAGCACTTGAAACGGCACATGCTGGCGACACCTGCTGGTGAAAACGTTGTAAAAGCATCAAGAACTCAGACCAAACATACAAAACAAATGGAAATGTTTTTTTTTTTTTTTAGAAATACCATTTTTTTTTAAATAAATAATGAGGCTTTTTCACGTGTAGAACGAAAATTAGGAGCACTTTCCTCTCTTCCTCTAGGGATGCGGAGGACGCCGTCTTTGGAAGGAATGGATATGGATTTGGAGACAATAAGCTGCGTGTGGAATATCCTCGATCTTCCGGATCCAAATTTAGTGGACCTGCGGGAGGAGGAGGAGGAGGGCCGCGGGGAAGGTTTGGGCCTCCGTCGCGCAGATCTGAGTTTCGCGTTATTGTGACGGGTGAGTTAACAGGTTTGAGGCTAAAGCACCTTCACGCAGAGTTAAAATATTCCTGATAACAATACTTCAATTAGTTGTATAGCAGGGTTATTATAGTTAACTAAAACTATTATGAATTTCGTTGTTAGCATAAAAAAAATTCATCGCGAAAATAAAACATTAAAAAAATAAAATACTTTAAAAAACATATTTTATTTCAGCTAGTTGCCAAGGCAACATTTCTCATTTTCATTTAGTTTATCTTGAACGTAACTGAATTAAATGTGAATAAAAACTGTATAGACGTATTTAAAAACAACAAAAACACTCAAAATGACTAAAACGTTAAGTAAAACGAAAATAAAATCTAAATCAAAATATTAACAGAAATTATAGTAGGATATCAATGATACTAAAATAGCATGCAATAATTTAACAATATTATTTTACAAACAAACAATAAATAAATGACTTATAATAGCAATTATATACAATCTTTTAAACTGATATTCTAATATTTTCTTAGGAGATTTTTTTTTAATGTCCATTAATGTATTTTCTGAGTATTAAAGGGACAGTTCACTCCAAAATTAGCATTGTCATAATTTACTCACCAAACCCATAATTCATCTTCAAAACAGTAATTTAACAGAAGTTTAATGAAACCTGGGGTTTTCTATCTCATCATCTTCAAAGACTTCAAAGATTCAAAAAGGTAAAGGTTTTGGGTGAACTGTCTCTTTAAATACTCAGTTCATAAATACATATTTCTATCTCATCATTGAAGAAATCTTCAAAGATTCAAAAAGGTAAAGGTTTTGGGTGAACTGTCTCTTTAAATACTCAGTTCATAATGCATATAAATACATATAAGTTCATTAATGAATTTTTTCTCAATATTATTATTATTATTATTATTTATCAATTATAAATTTGAACGATATTCATTAATTTATTTGTATTTGTTTGTAAAATAATACTGTTAAATTATTGTAAATTGAAGATTGAAGATTTATTTTTTAAGACTATTTTTATTTCTTTTGAAAGTTTGAATTAAATAGTGCAATCATTTGTTTCGAAGCATTGAATCAATTGAACCACTTGCTTCGAAAAATGATTCGATGTTTCGAAGCACTTGAAACAGCACATGCTGGCGACACCTGCTGGTAAAAACGTTGTAAAAGCATCAAGAACTCAGACCAAACTTACAAAACAAATGGAATTTGTTTTTTTTTAATAAATAATAAACACTTAAATACTATTAAATATTAGTGCTTGTGTTATGTGTTTTATTTAAGTATAATCAAACCCTTAACACACAATGAACTAAATTAATTAGTTAATGAATTCAAATTTATTTTGATTTATGTAATTATTTAATTAAGTGTTTTCATTTATAGTCTATAAAAACCAGCAGGCAAGAGTAGTGTTATCAGTGTGCAACCAGAAGTGGTTCATGGGTTCACTTTGAGATCAACACCCCCTAGTGGTGAACCATCGGGGTTTCGAAACGCTTCGAAACAGTGTGATGTAACGAAGCTTCGTTTGCTAAAATCACGTGACCTGGCCGGTTTGATACGCGCTCCGAAACAAAAGATTCACAAATGTTTCGAAGCTTCGTGAAGCAGTGTTTCGAACGCGCCCATCATCACTAGTTCACACGGTTCTCTAGACCAGTGTTTCCCAACCGGGGTGCCGTGTAAAAAATCATTTTTTAATATTTTTAAATTGCTAAAATGTTCAAAAAAGCATCTATTATATAATATCCATTTCTGATGTCGCCAATAATTAGAGATGCACTGAAATTTTGGCTGCCGAAAATTAGTTCACCGCTCAGGATTCACTTTCACGTGGTGTTATCCCGCTCTATGCGTGTGTGTGCTCCGCTCAGTCACTCACGGCCCATGTGAGTGCTCCACTCATATACCGTTCATGCTCATCGGAACAGTCCACTCAAAAATCGAGCTGACAGGAAACATCTATGTAGTACAATATTGTTTCTGTCTGCAATAGCCCTACTGTGCTGTAACAAGGTGTGGTAAATGGGCAACTCTGG